CCCCAAAACCCCAAAACCCCAAAACCCCAAAACCCCAAGAAGGTTATAACTAATAATTAAAATGCCTAGATATGGAAGTCAGCCGAGAAGCCAAAAATCAAATGTATTTAATTTTGCTTTCATTATCCCTTCAAAGTAGTTTATTTTGATCAATCATTTTGTTAAAAATAGCTCCTCAGCTTCTTCGCTAAAGAGGGCTTTCCTAGAGACAAGAGTTAAAAAGTTCCATAGAGCTATAAACCACGAGCGTCAAACTCTTACAGCATGAAGTACAACAAGAGCTCTGGGCAAGCCGTAACTGTAACCGTGTAGGAAAAGGAAGGGTAATAGAAAGCTAAACCCTGAGGAGAAGCTTGCCTTAAAGATGGGCCCTGAATACATCCCGGATTACTACCATGACCAAGGAGATTTTAAAGTAATAGAAATAAATTCTATTCCTCACATATTTAGGGAGAATGGTATGACAGAGAAAGCCTCGGATTTTACAGGTACTTTTCAAGTTTTATCAATTAGGTCTATTAAAGCAGGTCTTGACATGGGGATTGTAAACCAAATCCCTGTTCGAGAAGGCCTCTCGTCGACCCTTAAGCCTAACCACTTGAGAAATCCTCATGATTTACTCCAGAAAGCAATTGAGGATAATAATGAACAGAGACATTATCAGCTAAATGGGCATAATAAGCAACATCTTTTTGGTAAAGGAAACCAGTCAATGATTTCTCCCCGCAAACAGGAGTTTTACAAGTAGTTTATACAGCTAATCTATAGGGACACAAACTTTGAGATGGAAAATGAGGTGTACCCTACAGAGTTTATTAAAAAGAAAAATGCACAACTAGGAAATAACTGAGAAACTGAGCGAATCTTCAAAGGCATTAAGCATTACAAAGATAATGAGATTCAACCTTATATGAAAGAGAAGGTTGGGGAGACTATTCAAGCTGAGAATGTTGCTAAATATCACTTCCCAAACACGAATCATAGACAACAGTACAATCAAAGCGTACCATTTTTATTTATATTTTCTTTAGTTACTATCAAGCCACAGAAGTTTGCAGAAAGAAGAAATAAACCAAACTCAATTTTCTCAGTGAGACTTGAGAAGTAAAGCTGGTGATGCTGTGAAAGGAGTTCACTATCGACCGTATGAGTGGAAATACGCCCATGACAAGGTTGATGATGAGGATGACACTGATATTACAAAACCTCATAAAAAAAATAGTCCTTTCTCGGATAAGCATTATATGCCAGGAACTACTATGAGGAGAAGAACCGATAATATTTCCCTACCGACTTTGAAGTAAACTCTACTTGTAATTCATATAGAATTAATCAAGTCTCTTATGAAAACTCTCATTATGAGAAGCCTGAGCATAGTGAGAGAGCCCAGAAGGCTGTAATGGAGCTCAGGTCTCAGAGAGCATTGCAGAAGAGTGGAAGTGATATTGCACTTAGCACAATGTCCAATGACCTAACATCAAGAGGAGGCTATGATCAAATTCCTTCTAGTGTTCCTTCTATAGCAAAAACACTGAGAAGCAATAGCTACAAGCTATTGCCTCCTCAAACAGAATATTATTACCAGAGTAAATTTAAAAATGTTGGCAGATTTAAGGCCTTTGATAAAGAACATGAAAGTGAGTCTAGTGATGAAGATCACCAGCCGACTGTAATCCCAAATGACAAGTACCTTGGCCACACTATGAAAATTTAGAAGTTTCTTAATATTATTATTTCAATACTGCTGACACTCTTTGGGGTTTTGGGGTTTTGGGGTTTTGGGGTTTTGGGG